GTGTCGGCTCTAGTGACTGCTGCTAGTGCTGCTGCTGGTGCCCTTTCGGCGTTGGCTGCTTCTCTAGCCCTCTGCAATGCCATCCTCTCGCTGGCTTCTCTCCGCAGTCTCCTTTCCTCTACTTGTTCTAGCACTAGAAAAGTGGTAGGCCGACTGAGTGCAAGTCTCCGGGTAAGTCTCCTATTGTCTTAATTTAGTCCCTCAACCTCACTGTCATCTCCACTCATCAGCTATGCGTGAAATGCGATCTGCACTAGTGTCCTCGCTGGGACCTACCACAGCATGGCATCCAACTGATTAAAATAAAATAAAATAGATGTGCGGTCCAGCTTTGTCAGAAAGTAGCCAATCGGGAACCGCGGATGATCTCAGATTCCTACAAACAACTCTATTGAATTTATTCTACTTTTGACTAGTCTGAAACAGATTGCATTGGAGCCAATAATATTTTACTACCCTGTGAGGATTGAGCCCTCAAGTAGGGGCCTTGCCATGATGTACATGTTCTGGGCTAAGGCCCCAGCAAGCCTAGTGCCCGCCCTAAGTGAAGGCGGGCCAGCAAATCAACAAGAGCCCTGTCTGCCAACATTTCACGAAGTGGGGTCTATACAGTTGCAGCACGCCAGTTGGTTGGAGTGCACCGAGTCTCGGATTTCAGCAAATGCTGAAATGCCCAGGGCCTCTAAGTTAGTTAGGCCCTGGGCACTCGAACGTGAGGCCGACAATGCATGCTGGGTAGAGAGGCCGAAATGCCAAAGGGAAAATCGGCCCACTATCTGAATTTGGCCGCAGGCCTTGAGAAGAGAGGCGCAACTGCATTGCTCCGGGGCCCAACTGTATCGGGTAGGCTTCAGCCTCTGGGTCCCGGTCGCAGGCTGAAGGGAGGCCGCCCACATGCTGCATTGGCATATAGGCAAGCAGGGCGAGGCAGCGAGGATCTTGGCCAATGCTGGCATATGCGGGCACGCTGCGCAGATGCAAGAGTGCAGCACTATGCAGAGCAGCGCTGCGCTAAGACAGGGCAGGCCAGCGCTAGGCGGTAGGGCGCTGCCTGCGTGCAAGGCACTGGCGGCCATAGCCGGGCCGCATGAGGGTGCAGGGGAGGTGAGGGCGAAGGTGGTACTTCGGAGGTGAAGGGCGCTGTGTGGGTAACAAGGGAGAGTGTGGGGAAGAGGACACATACCTGGTGATGGTGGAGGTCTGCATTGGTGTTGACATCATCACTCGCTGGTAGTCAAGTTGTCTGGTTGCTGTTCATTGGTGTAGTTGTAGGATAGGTTGTAGAGTAGATAGGGCGCCTGGCGCCATTCACAAGAGAGAGCTACATTTGGGTTATGCTGTCGGTGTTGCCCTGTTGGGCATGGACATTGACTCACGATTCTTCTGTATCATTCTCAATGGGATGGTTACTCGGTTCCATGTGCTATCTGCTTTGGCTTTGAATACTTGGACTTCAGTGTGATTTTGCATTCTGGATTTCTGTGCTTCGTCCATACTCATGTTCCTTGCAACCCTATCTGCAGTTGTCTGTCAGTTGTTAGCAAGGTCCGTCACAACTAACCAAAAATAAAATAAAATAATTTGCTGGTGTGCATGCAGAATGAAAATTTTCAATAATTAATAATCGAACAGTGGTCCTTTGGGACATTTGTTAAAATTGGAACGATACAGAGAAGATTAGCATGGCCTCTGCGCAAGGATGACAGGCATAAATCGAGAAATGGTCCAAATTTTTAATTAAAAAATAAAAATAAAATCGAACAGTGTAGTGGAATCTTCCCTCCCCCAGTGTCCGTCTTGAGTAATACTTTATGTCAACGTCCTGAAGCTCTGGTTCAGTGGCGTGTCTGAAGGTGTGCAATCGGCCCACCCCTGTGCGCCAAATCAATACAGAACTGTCAAACCATCTGCTAAAGGTTGTAATAACCCAAACAATCCTACCACATTCGGACCTTTTCTACGCTGCATAGAAGCCATTACTTTACGTTCAGCTAGTACTAAAAAAGCAACTCCTAGTAAAAGTGGTATTATTATTCCAAGTATTTTGGCTAAAATGCCAATTATATACAATTTCATTTTGTTTGTTGTTTTTTTAGATGTTGTCAACGCATGAAATGAAACAAGCCGCTTCTCAATTTATCACACGTACTATAAAACAAGAAAGATTGAAACCCCACCTGCCAGCCCTGACTGTACTATTTGTATACTCGCGTACAGCACGAGTCGTGTATCCCCGCCGAAGTCTCTTTATAGACGGTCTGGTACTCGTCTCTCCCTCACAGGGCTGGCCTGCCCGACATGACCTCTATAGTGCAGCAAGCAGACCCAAGGACAACCGGCAAAGCATGCGTGTACTTGTCCCAGCGAATTGGCATGGTGACCGTGACCTGAGTGCTTCGTCCAGGGCCCTTCAGAGGCAACGCCCGTCTCCCACCAGCTTGCTCCCCAGGAAGAATGTCGACTCTCAAGGTTGAGCGCTCGCGACACCTCACAATCAGAGGAGTCAAGACAGAACTCACTTCCTGACGGTAAGAAGCAATGAAGAGGGTAGATAAGGTAAGGAGCAACGTACCTCATGATCCTACCCCAAAATACAGATTTCTCATCAGTAACATGATGTGCATTTATGATGACCGGTTGATGCCTCGGCACAACCCACAATACAATGCAGTTCCACCTTGGCTTAAATGCCACGTCAGCAAGCTCTCATTATCTAGTGTGCACCCCATATGTCACCATATAGCCTTCCTGGCGTGCCCACACGACCCTGGGCCGCCAATCACCATCGCACAAGCGTTATCACTGCCCAACCATATCCACCGAAGCACCAAACAGCTATTGCGTAGGAGCCAGCCGAGCAGCTCGAACCACCTCCGATACCAAATTGCAAGGAAAATGAGCGATAGTGAAATGACAGAAATCCAGAATGCAAAATCACATTGAAAGCCAGCAAGTCCAACACTGTCCCGAAAGCAGAAATGCTCTGATATTGCACTGAATCCGAATGTCAATGAGAGCATACTCTCTCCACCACCAACATATGTATCCAGAGTCCTTCCTCCTACTTGGCGCTGAGCGCCCAGACTACTACTACACAGCTACTAGCAGCCTACGAATTGACAATGCATCCCATTGACATCAGCAGCAACAACCAAAGTGCATGAAGATGTTGACCCTGTAGACCATTGCCAAGACCAGGTACGTGCCCTCACATCATCACACGTCATCTCTCTCTCTCTCTCACCCTCGACTTCTATACTACCCACATCTTCCCTCTCATGCACGAAGACCACCACCACCCGCTGACTAAGTCCAAGCCCCAGCCTGGCTATGAAGGCTGGGCTATGGCGCTGCCCTCAGCAGTGCCCTGTATCCTTTCGACGTCCGCGTGGCCGCACCTAGTGCTAGCGCAGCAAGCAGCCCGCGAGTCTCCGCTTCAGCAGCGCTGCCACCCGCAAGTGCACGTGCCCAAATCCCCAACTCGGAGCCCAGCACTTTCCTATATGGAAAGTGTCGGGCGTTTTCCACTTGCTTCCCACGGGAGACCGAGTTTCCAGTAGCTTCAATCTCGGCCAAAGTGTCTGCGCCCAGGCCCGTTCAGACAGTGGCCTGTGTTACATGCTGCGCCTGCAACAGGCTGCATGGGCCCCTTTAAGGCCCGTGACGTTTTCAGGCCAAAAGCCTGAAAACAAGGGCCTACAGGCCCTGTGTCGTTTCAGGCTAAATCAGGGCCTTTCCGGCCCTGAGGATTTTCAGGCTGAAACTGAGGGCCATTTTCAGGCCCTCATCAGTCCGACCCGCCCTGAAACTCAGGCAACAAACCAGGATTTTAGCACAGGGCATTTCGGGCCTGTTTTCAAGACAACCCCTGGTTCAGCTTCAACGCCAGGGTCTGGCACGTTTTGGCATTGGCAAGAGCAGCCTCCTGGACGGGCCAGCACTATATAGGACTGGCCCGCCCTGCAGGCCGGCAGGTAGTTCCTAGGTACTTCCCAGGCACTTCACATGCAGATCAGGAGGCAGGAGGTAGTCTTCAGGATTCGGCAGCAGCACTCTGGAGGAGCGCTGCAGGAGTAGTAGTAGCGTTAGCAGTAGTCTTCAGCGCTGGGCGCTAGTAGCGTTAGCTGTAGTCTTCAGCGTTGGGTGCCATCGCAGCTAGAGTAGTACTATAGTGAGAGAGATTGGGCGAAGGCCAGAGGGACTTACCTGCAGCGCCATCGCTCCAGCTTCGTCTTCAAGGTACCTGCAGCACAGCGCCACCCTTACAGGTTAGTACGTGGCATACGAGAGAGAGAGTTGTTACGATCCTGGCCAATTTCAAAGTATACATTCATTTGAAAGTACAATGCCATCCAATTGCAGAAAGAAATGAATGAACTTGAGAGGAGAGAGAGGGAAAGAAGAAGAAGAAGAAGTAAGAAAGAAGAAGAAGATGGTGTACTCCANTATTCGTACCGAAGAAGGGGGGTACTTTGAGGATGTGCATTGATTATAGAGGCCTCAATGCCATCACTGTGAAAAACGCAGAGCCTCTACCTCGCATAGACGACCTACTGGATAGGGTGCAGGGATGCAAGTACTATACGAAAATAGACTTGAAATCCGGATATCATCAGATTGCAATAAGACCTGAGGACCAACACAAGACAACTTTTCAGACTAGATATGGTTTGTATGAGTTTGTAGTGATGCCTTTCGGTCTTTGTAATGCGCCGGGTACATTCCAGCACGCTATGAATCGGATCTTCCATGAACATTTAGATAAGTTTGTCGTAGTCTATCTAGATGACATTCTGATCTTTAGTAAGTCTGTCGAGGAGCACGCACAGCATGTTGAGACAGTTCTCTCACTCCTTCGACAGCACAAGTATAAGGTCAACTTAGAGAAGTGTGAGTTCGGTCGCACAAAGATTCTATACTTGGGTCATGAAGTATCCGCGGAAGGGATTAGGCCGGAAGATGCGAAGGTGGCTAGTATTGAAGACTGGCCACGGACTCAGACAGTCACTGAGGTCAGATCATAAAAGATTGAAGCATGCACTCATGAATCATGAAGTTCTTATGGTTCCCGATCCGCAGAAGCCATTCATAGTGACCACTGACGCAAGCCAATACGGCATTGGCGCAGTGCTGGCTCAGCAGGATGGGAAAAAGTTGAGACCGATTGAGTACATGAGTAAGAAAATGCCTTCGAAGAAGCTGGCTAAGTCCACCTACGAAAGGGAACTCTATGCTCTCTACAAGGCACTTGTCCATTGGAGACACTTCCTTTTGGGAAGTTTCTTCTATCTGAGGACTGATCATCAGACCCTCAAATGGATCAAGACTCAACCGGCTCTTTCTGATGCACTCAAGCGATGGATTGAGGTCATAAACCAATATGACTTCAAGCTTGAGTACTTGAAGGGAGAGTACAATAAGGTTGCAGACGCGCTATCCCGTAGAGCAGACTACCTAGGTGCGCTAGTTTCTGAATTTGGCGTATCTAATGAAGTAACTCAATCATTGGTGGGAGCCTATCATGAATACCCTGTCACGATGGACATCATCCGCAAACTTCAGGCGAAAGACAAGGTCACAGAAAGTGAGTTTGTAATGGTGGATGGGCTAATCTATCTTGATAAGGCCGGAGTAAAGAGATTGGTAGTTCCATCTAGTGAACAGTTGCGTAGTTTACTTTTAGGCGAATGTCATGACGCAACTGGGCACTTTGGCTACAAGAAAACGATTGCTAACTTAGTACAACGATTTTGGTGGCCCAGAATGTTAGATGACGCAAAGAAGTATGTTGAGACTTGTAAGGTCTGTCAGCGGGACAAGCCGCGAACTCAAGCACCGCTTGGGTTATTGAAGCCTTTACCTATTCCTGATGGTCCAGGATTGAGTGTTTCCATGGATTTCATGGACACCCTTGTGACCAGCAAGAGTGGTAAGAGGCACATTTTCGTCATCATTGACCGATTCACCAAGTACGCTAGACTAATTCCAATGCCAGAGACAGCCAGGACGGAATACGTCATCAAGTTGTTCAAGGACAACTGGGTAAGGGACTTTGGTTTACCAAAGACCATCATTAGTGACCGAGACGTCCGATTCACAAGTGAGTTGTGGAAGAAGACTGCAAAACAGATGGGCAGTCAACTTCAGATGACTTCAGGGAATCATCCCGAAGCCAACGGACAGGCTGAACAAATGAATAGAGTTGTACAGCACTTGCCGAGGCACTACATCAAGCCCAGCCAGGATGACTGGGATGAGCAGTTACCTCTCATCGCCAGCCTGTACAACAATGCTATACATAGTAGTACCGGCATCAGTCCTAACCAGCTGCACTTAGGATGGAAGCCTAGATCAGCATTAGACTTCCTCCTACCTGAAAACCGACCTGCTGCAACTCCAGGCACACTTGAATACGGTGTGCAGTATGAGAAGTTGCTGCAAGAGGCTGTTGAACACATGAAGAATGCTCAGCAAGCCATGATTGCTTCTGAGAATCAACATCGTAGACAGTCCACATTTCAGGTAGGGGAACGTGTCTGGGTCAAGGCTAGTGACATAGGTCAGGAATTCGGAATATCTCGCAAACTAATGCCTCAGTACTTTGGTCCCTGGGAAGTCTTGGATGTAGTGGGAGATGAGTCGGATGGTCCCACATATGTCATTCGTGTCCCTGGACACCTACGCACTCACCCAGTCTTTCATGCCTCAAAGCTTGCACCTTTCGCTGAGACTGATCAATTCCCTTCCAGGAGATCGATGCTGCCCCCAACCATGGATGGACAAGTCGACATCGACGACATTGTGGATCACAGGGATATGCCTGTTCAGAAGCCGCTGGGTCGAGGAAGACCTCCTAAACCCAAGAGGGAGTACCGGATCAGATTCCGGCATCATACGGATCCTAAAGAAGATCGGTGGTTTACCCGGGAGGAACTGATGGAAACAGCTCCTCAGGTGGTGGCAGATTATGAACGGAAGCTAAAAGGGAAGACACCTGCGAAGTAAGCATCTCAACGGACTTTCGAA